GCAATGTTTCGCCAAGTTCATCTTCATTCTCATCCCATAAGATGAAAATGACAGAAGACGCCTACGTCTCTATCTTCTCGACGTTCTGCTCAATGCACAGATAGATGTCGCACCACCAAAACGGTCGACCCATCGTAGCCGTAAAATTGACTATTTGACTGTTCAATTACAAATGTCACAGGTGAAATAAAAAACATGCAAATAAATATGAAATACCCACAGAAGGCAAAGCCTGTGCGTGGTGAGATGTCTATCCAATATTCAGTCTATATCAGTATAATTGTCATTATAGGTACAATAGTCATAATCGGGTGTGCGACGAATCAGAGAATGTCATATTAGGAAGTTCATTTGGTTTAGCTGCTGCATGATTGAATATGCGTAACCTTATGTATATATTAAGAACTTTTAAAAAAATTCCTTGACAGTTTAAAAAAAAAGGTTTTAATCGTTTTTATATATATTTGAAAGAATTGGCTGATGTAGGTGGAGGCGATGTATTTCATTAATCCGCTTTTTTAGTTCTTTTTTAAACTGCACAGAATTATACTGTTTTAAGATAATAGGCAAACTATTATAAAGCTTCGGTCCTAGGTATTGGAATGATCTCTGCATGACATTGACATGAGGCTTTGGTAAACATGCTCCCACTTTATGGCGGGTATCATATTCATGCTCAGTTTGGCGTAACTTATGTTTTAGTTGGTGCTGCTTCATGATGGTCTGGATGAAGTAGAGTTGTCGAATATCATGCACTGCAATTTCGGTATATAATTGTTCTGTTGGGTATATAGTTGGCTTATTATATATTACCTTTACAATGTACTTTTGTGTTGTCTCAGGAAGTATTGTACGCAATTTTTTAATTACGAAATGTATGTGCGTGTTCCATTTAAGGGTAGAATCTTGGTACACTCCCAGATATTTAACACTGCGCGAAGAAGTTAGTTGTAATTGTTCATTTTGGTTGTTCTTCAGCTTTATGTTTAAATTTGAATATTTGGGCATATATCGTTCACAGGACGAAAATGGGATGTAACAAGTTTTGTTGTAATTTACGGTTAAACGTCTAGAGTTGAACCATTTGATAATCTTGCAAAATTCTGTCTCTGTTAGAGTTTTTAGGTTTTCCCAGGTGTGAGAACTGTATATGATTGCCGTGTCGTCAGCAAAACTTATGATTTTGACACGAGTCTGTGTGGATGCATACCTTACAACAACATTACAACAAAACATTTATCAGAGGAATTGAATAGTTCAAATATTTTTCGAAGCTTATATTCTTATAATGAAACATTACAGTGAATTTTGATATTTTCATGTACTTACCGTTATTCAAATAACACAAAAGTTACTTGAAATATAAATTTACCATAGCAACCAAACTAAACGTGGGCATATGTCACCATATTTGTTTTACACTAGGCTGTTGCCAGATTGCCAAAATGGCGTTTGCCTACTCTTACGGAACGTGTACTCTTAGGCGGGTCTACCCTGTATCGCCAACCAGCACATGCACACACGTGCTACTAATTTTTTAAAATTGTCGAGACATTCTATGAACTCGCGTAGGCATATACTGGGAGGTATATAAATCGAAATTATTTTCAGTTTTTTGTCATCAAATTTAAGATCTATCTCTAAAAATTTAAGATTGTTATCAAGTGATATAATGTGGTCGCGACAATGTACTTCTCTTTTGACAAATACAAATAAGCCATCATTCTTGTTGATATTACGTTCATTATAAAAGTTAGCGTAGCCGTCCATGCCAAACAGAGATGCATCTTCAACTCGCCATGTTTCTGATAATATGATTATGTCAAATTCGTGTTTTATTTCCTTCAAACGTAGTTTTAAACTGTCAAGGTTCTTACAGATGCATGAGCGATGAAGCCCACTTCGTAGTGAACGGATTTGTTAATAAGCAGAATTGTCGTATCTACGAGCCCCTTCCCACTTTAGTTGGCCCACTTCAAGAGTTTTACCAAAATATGCCTTTATAAACTAAACATGACGAAACTATTTACTTCTAAAACAATTTATTTTCTCAAAAACATTTTAGATACACTCTAGTCGTAAAAAATACTTATTTGAAATCACTTAGACCTATAACTAATAGAACATCTGAACAAATAAACAATGTACGAATAAATGCGCGAAGTTAACAAACCAACAATTGAAAGATTACCATTGGGTAACATCACCTTTATTTTTTATTACGGCTGAAATTCTTTGGGGTATAGTGTTAACCAAGTTTTGGCAAAAATTTGGTGTAAAACAATCCCATATTTCTTGAAGTTTTTGTCTCAGTTCGGTGATTGTATGAGCAGGTTGTTGTCGTAGAACCTTTTTCATCTCGTGCCACAAAGTTTTAATAGGTGACAGATCTGGATTGCTAGAAACCCATTTCAAAAGTGGTACATTGAGGTATGGCACACTAATAACCTTTTCTCTACCCATTTTGAAAACCTTAACTACCCAAAACTATTTTAAACGTATTCTGGCAGCTGTGATTAATAAAAACAATTGTTATCGATTTTATTTTTCACAGCCACCTATGCGTTATACGTTAGACTTATTTTGCATTGAAATGAAAATAGGTTGATATGCTGTAATTGCAACATGTGTTATTTTTATGCTGGAAATTTGATTAGGGAGTGATAAAGTTGGTGTTTTCTAGTATATATTATCAAAATATTCATTGTTAATATTTTAAACCTATAACACCCTGCTACATTTTTATTATTTGTGTTTGATAAGAAAAAAACTAAGATTTCAATAGTTGGGCCAACTGAAGTGGGAAGGGGCTCGTAGGCATTAGAGAACCCTCGTGTCATCCATCTTTGATCACAACATCCTCGTCGAGTCACAGTTTGGTGCGGTGTTTGGTGTGGAGGTGTCATTGGACCTTACTTCTTTGAAGACGCTGCAGGTAATTCTTTTACTGTCACTGGCGAGCGCTACCGTCATATGATGCAAAAGTTTCTGGCTCCCCAAATCCAACAATTTAACCTGCAAAACATGTGATTCCCGCAGGACGGAGCAACTTGTCACATAGCTAGGAAAACAATGAATATTTTGCGAAAAATATTTCCGGGCCGTTTAATTTCTCGATTTGGAACTGGCCACCAAGGTCACGAGATTTAACAGCTCCTTACTTTTTGTATGGGGATTTTTAGGAAATATGGTTTATGCTAACAAACCAAAAACTGTAAAACACCTGAAGAACAATATTACGGAAGCGATTGAAAATATTCCTCCCGAAACCTACCAAAAAGTGATAGAAATTGTAATCAAGAGGAAGCTTACGTTTACTTCAGACACCCAACAAACATGTGAAAATGTCATTTCCTTAGTGTGTATTGCATTACTTTGTTTGCTATCTTGCTGTATTCCCACCAGTAATTGGTATATCTGTTGGTGGTGTGTAAGTAAATAGTTTGCAAAGAGCGGCATCGGTAAGTATTATTATCATGTTGATACAAAGCTGTCATTTTGGAAGGCATTGGTAGTCAGATGAGTTAAAAGTATGCACTAAAACAACATAATTTTGACAACAAACAATCCAATGTAAACATATAGGCTTGTTCCTCTTGATGCCGAGCGACTTCAGCACTGTAACACTGTCGTTTTGGCCTGTCTGAACTGGAGTAATATTCGTCGCAGCCGGACAAACTTTGGCTCACGATCATCTCTGGTCGGTGCGGTGTGCATGCCGACACATAGACAGACTGTCAGGCGTGATGATGAAAACGTGCTGCCAGCACGGCATCACAACATCGTGCTATAGTCCTATTAGGCCATCTATACTGTAATTAAAAGCAAATAAAGCCACTTCTGCAACTATTACTTTTAACTCGATTTGTGGCTGGCTGGCAATTTCTTGACCGCTACTATTAAGACGAGAACGGGACATCGCTAGGTTTATTTGTGTCTATGCTTAGGAAAAAAGTGATTGATGATGGATGTGTTGCAGTGTCTGTATTAAGCGTTACATAATGATAATAATAGGTCATTGTAGCCTGCATTGAAAATATATAATAAATGAAGTCAGTGATGCTACGGATTAGATGCAGAATGTCTAAAGTAATATAAAAATCTAGAAATAGTTTATTTGTATGACAGCTAATCTAAATCATCGCATCATAACCTAGCCCGTTGATCATTAACAAAAAACTGAATTATGTTACGAACTAATAACAGCTCTGTACACATATACGAGTATGCTACGGCTAAAACCCGAAATGCGGTGACAACCAGGTTTAGCCGGTTAGAACTAGGTGTAACCACTGACATAATGCCAGCCATACACGTAACGATATACTTGCGCAAACTTAGACTTGCACAAGTATACTCTAGCGTGTGTTGGAAGATTTTTGCGCAAGTGTCTAGTCTTGTACAAGTCGCAAGAACGTTGCAATTTTCGATTCCGAGACTTGTGCAAGTTTACGTTTGCGCAAGTTTACTTGAACGTGTGTGGCAACGAGCGTTCGCAGTTAGCGATGTCCTGCTGCTTGGTTGTACACACGCGTTGCGCTGTTCAGCACCAAAATGAGTGAGAGACGTGGAGTTCGAGAAAATTTGGAAGAATTTATAAATGTGTACAGAAATGAACCATGCCTCTGGCAAATAAAGAACAAACACTACCATAATAGAGATAAAATACCGCCGCTTATAACAAATTACTAGAACTGTATAAGAAAATAGAACCAAGTGCCAACCGAGATATGATAGTTAAAAAAATTAATGGCTTACGCACCAACTACCGTAAAGAAATGATGTTTATGTGATAACATTATGGTATTATGATTTACTGAAATTTCTCGATGACGACCAAGGAGCGCCAAGATATTCTCGTTCCAACATCGTCGAAGATGATAGTTCTGAAGTAAGTACACGAAATTAGCTATTATATTTTTATTTAATGTAAATATTTACAAGGTAACATTTCTCTGTGTGTTTAAGGAATAAAGTTATCTTGCCAAGGTACACTCCCCTCGTTATTAAAGTAATGTACATACGGTTCTCTAACATTTTTGGCAGCAGTTGCATTATTTCCAGAGTTTCGTCGATATAATGGCTCCATGTTTGAATCATGTGATGTTAAACCTGATGTAATAGTTCCATCTTCTAGGTTTTCGTGATCGAAACATTCTGCAGAACTATCTGAATTCGATGACGACGAAAGTTATGCAAAGCACAGCTTGCCATTACCACCTTATCAATGTTCTTGGGTTCTAGATTAATTTGAGTTTTATATATCCGAAATCTAGAAGCCAATAATTGTATATCTTTCTTTCGCGAGAATTTAAATCTGCCTGTCGGTATGGTTTTATCATATCTGTTCTCAAAGCAAAAGCATCGTCGGCTACAAATACATAAGGAAGTATTTTGGAACTTCCTTTTATAGGTTCATCTGACGGGATACTTAATTGGTGTTTTTGAAGCTTGTCATAAAATGTAGTAGTCTGAAGCACACCGCCGTCTGATATCCTGCCGTTAACACCAAAGCTGTACATTATAAATTGGTACCTAGCATCCACTATTGCAAGAAGTATCATACTGTGTCGACCTTTATAATTATAAAAATAGGAGCCACTTCCACTTGGAGAAATAATGTCTATGTGTTTCCCGTCTATGGCGCCAAGGCAATGTAGAAAATTCCACCTATTTTCAAAATGTTTTGCTATATTTTTCCATTCATCTTCTGTTTGTGGAAACTGAAAGCAAAGAAAGTAAAATAACAATTATTGTTCCAGGAAACCATACAAGCTTCAATGAACAGCGATGTTTTGCCATCACAAGATAGAGATGATAATTCTCCGGAAACAGCTAGTACCTCTACACAAATATCAAGTCGCCCTTGACCACCCAAAAGAAAAAGTAACAGTAATCCTCATTCATTAGATTCACCAGATTTATCTACCGACGTATTGCAAGTCGTAAAAGAGCATTTCAAGCGTCCTTTGTTGAGCGAAGACCGATTTGATATTTTTGGCGAAAATGTCGCAATGAAACTGCGCGATCTGCCAATACAGCAAAGGCTGATTGCTGAAAAAATTATAAACGACTCATTATTTCAAGCAGAAATGGGCAATTTGAGACTGCCACATGGAGAGTTCAATGTACGTGAGTTGTATCGCACAACTCCCAGTCCTCCAACATATCAGACACAACAGTTTATTCGTGCAACTCCAACTCCCAGTCATTCAGCACACCGGCCACAACAGTTCATTCGTGAAATCCCAACTCCAAGTCCTCCAATACACCACTCGCAACAGTTTAACCAAGGAACCCCAATTCTAAGTCCTCCAACACAACACTCACAGCAGTTCATGCATTTAGGATCAACTCTATCTTCATTGCCACGCATCGAGCAAGAATGTAATGATTCTTCCACGCCTTCCATGCAGTACAATTCGGATTCACAACATTCGACTGAACATACTGAAGTGCAGCCGGGGCATTTATATCCAGCTTCAATGATTGTCAATAAATGTTTAAGAATTAAAAACCTTTTACTCACCTTAAAATAATCGTGCCGCAGTACTTTGTATATCGCTTCACATGTTTCTGGAATAATAACACCCAACGCCTGGGGTGATATTATTGTTGTAAGCTTTAGGTCTTCGTAACTCCTTCCAGTTGCGAGAAACCTCAGAGTTGCTGTCAATCTTTCGTGTGGCGATATAGCTTTTCGCATTACAGTATCTTGGTTTTTAATAAGTGGAGTAATCATCGATAGAAGCTTCAAGTAAGTTTCTTAGTTCATACGCAAGTAGTTATGCCAGTCTTTGGGTGCAAATTTCAATTCGTTCACTAAATTGATGTGTGATGAATGTTCTCTTTTCATTAACCAGTCCTTACACCATATAGCTCGATGCCTTTTAGATCTTTTCAGTTTTTTTGTAGCAACTATCAAGCCAACTATCGCCATAGCATCATCAATGGATGCCATCGTCCCAACACAACTCGCCTGCTCCATGACTTTCTCAAAAATGATCGGTCAAATATACTTGCGCTGTGTGTGCTCGAGATAGGATGATGTGTGTTTGCGCAAGTCTAAGCTTGCACAAGTATATCGTTACGTGTATGGCTGGCATTACGTGTAACCTATACATTTATGGCCAAACCTAGTATTAAGCCGGTTACATTCGGTTAAAACTAGGTCCAACCAACTTGATCCCGGCGACACCTTGGTCTAGCCCAGGAGTTCCCAACCAGGGGGCGCGCCTTCCAAGGGGGGCGGAAACCGTTTGCATTTTAGAAAGAAAAAAGAAAAAAAATAAACAAACAATATTAACAAATAACATTATAATGTAATGTTTAATTTACAAAACCCGGCGTCGTCAATCGCAGTTTATACAAGTTTCGACATGTCACAACTTGAAATCCGCGCGCACCTCCGCTGCGCTCCGCTTAACATTCATCGTTTAGAAAACTATTGTGTACCTACCAGACGCGGATGAGCATCTGTGACATTCATTCCCACAAAGTTTATTAGACTAAATTAGACGTTTCGATGTACATGTTTTGTTGAGAAATCTGTTTGAGTGTGTCAAATTAATGTGTCTCACTGTTATAAGGTAAGTTTGTGTATTTACAAACTTCAGTTACCATTTTTATTTAATTTATTAAATTGTTGATTGTGTGGAGACGCCTTCATAGATCGGCCATTGAGACTTTTTTACCTCATCACAATCAAACCAACGTGGCGAAATAATTTTGAAATGACGAACTTTAAGTACCTAATATTGATTCCAAATGTATTTAAAATTACTATCATAGCGTCAACCTGCCTACAAAAATATAAATTTCCCGGTGGCCAATATACTGTTAAATACATTACGTTATTAAGATAAAATAATGGGCATATAATTAGTAATTACATGTAGGTATTTTGCTTATTTATTTATTAATTATTTGTTTTATTGTTATAGGTGCAAAATGGCAGCGAGGAAAAGGAAGTTTTCCGAAGATTACGTTAAGTTTGGATTTACCGTCATAGAAAAAGACGAGTTACAATTGCCTCAGTGTGTAATATCTATGAATGTTTTGAGTAATGATAAAATGAGGCCCAAACGCCTTGGAAGGCATTTGAAGCAACAACATCCGACTCTGGTTTTGAAGACGAAAGAGTTTTTTTCTTCTAGAGCAGAATCACCCAAGCGGCTGAGACTGGATAAATCGGGAAGTTATCCCACAGGTGTACCGCAGCATCTCAAAGCTTCATTTCAAATAGCTTTTAGAAACCTCATACTATCGATCAAGAATTAACAATGAAGAATTAATAAAACCATGTGTCCTAAAAGCCACGCGGATAATTTTAGGAGAAGATGCAGAGCAAAAAATGAAGTTTATTTCTCTCACAGTCAAGCGTAGATTCGATGACATTGCAGCAGACACAAAGTCACAAATATAGTAATTAATAAAGTAAAATTATCGCCATTAGTTGCGATGAATCCACCGCCATCGTTAATTGTGCACAGTTAATAGTTTATGTTCGTTACATTGGCAGAGATATCATTCAAGAAGATATTTTGTACGCCCAATCTTTGACAGCAGGTACTACATCTGAAGATATATACTAAGTGACATATAAATCCGAACACCCAGTTTAAATGGTTTTATTTTAATAAAATTTTGTATAAGTACTTAATGAAGCATAATAAGTAAATGATAAAAATTTCAAAATGATTTCACTGCTTTAAAGCCCTTTGATCTTTAATAATGTGTGGATGCACCCTGATGTGCTACGCATTCTCCAACGCGCCTAGGCATGCTTCTGATCAGGTGGTCAATATCCTCCTGTGGTATCTCATTCCAGGCAACCACCAACTCCTCTCGAAGTGCTTCTAGAGTCTGAGGAGGACGTTGCAAATTGAGCAATCCCCTACCCATCATATCCCACACGTGCTCAATTGGGGATAAGTCGGGAGATCTTGGTGGCCATGGTAACAATGTGACATCATTATGTTGAAAGAAGTCTATTGTGACTCTTGCAACATGTGGTCGGGCATTATCTTGTTGGAAAGTTGGATCTGCCAGGGTGTCAAGATAGGGTAAAAGATGGGGTTCTAGAAGTTCGTGGATATAACGCTGCGCGTTCATGTTACCTCTGATGAAGATTAAAGGTGGCCTGGAACCATAAGCTATAGCACCCCAAACCATAACTCCAACAGTGTGATGAACATGTCTTTCAACAAAAACTGTGGATTCCTCCTTTCACCACGTCGCCTTCTAACCCTGGCACGACCATCGTGCATGCCTAAACAAAATCGAGACTCGTCACTAAAGACAATACTGTTCCATTCCTGATCCCAGAGTGACCGTTGTCTGCACCACTCAAGGCGATTACGTCGGTGTTCTCGAGTTAAAGGGAGGACCCAGTGTGGCCGGTATGAAAACAAGCCAAAACTTCTCATTCGTCGGTAAACACTTCGCATGCCAATAGGTCGTCCGTGTTCTGCAAACCATTCATTTGCAATGGACCTGGTAGTGGAGAAACGGTCCCTTAAGGCCAATAATCTTAGGCGGCGATCTTCACGGTCTGTTGTTCTACGTCGGCGTCCAGTGCCCCTTGCTCTTTGCGTACGGCCTTCTGGAAGCCATGCCTGACAACACCTAACCACAGTGTCTACACTTCTTTGCACTCTAACTGCAATTGCCCGAAAAGAAAGTCCAGCTTACCGAAGTCCCACTATACGGCCCCTATCAAACTCACTAAGTTGACGAAATCGTACAGGTCCCCGTACTCTAGGCATCGTAACCGATCGTAAAGGATGTCAAGAACCAAAATCCGCCAACGTTGATTCTTTACTGCGGCTGACATATTCATTTTTAAAGCGTTAGTGAATTAAAAAAAAGCAGTATAAAAACCGGAATGTCCAACTGATAAGGCTGAAATTTTTTTCACTTGTTATTTACAGTAAGATAAATACATTCACCAACTTTTATTAAAATAAAACCATCTAAACTGGGTGTTCGGATTTATATGTCACTTAGTATATTTAATTCAATATCAAATGTTGTTGAAAAAAATGATTTGGATTGGAAGAAACTCATTGGACTTTGCACAGATGGCGCACCTGCAATGATATGTGTGCGATCGGGTTTAGCTAAAAACCTCAAGGAAAAAAATCCCGCAATGGTTAGTACTCATAGTACATCATACATCGGCAAGCTTTGGACTCGGCTATAAGGATTGTAAACTACATCATGAGCAGCGCTTTGAACAGTTGTTTACTTTATTTTGCGAGGATCTCGAATCTGATCACAAAGTTCTTCTGTTCCATACAGAAGTAGGCTGGCTGTTCTAAAGCATCATGTTGGATCGCCTTTATGAATTGAAAGAAGAGGTAATTCTTTTTCTTGAGGTCAAAGAAAAACACGATTTCTTGACAATGTTCAAAGATGACACATTTCAATGGAGGTTGGCTCATTTAACTGACATATTTGACTCTTTGAATGAGCTAAACTTAAAACTTCATGACAGAAACAACACAATAAGCAATTATGACTATGTTCAGGGGTCCATATCAAAGCTTCAACTTTGAAATCAAAAAGTCTCCTAAAAATGTTATATCTTTTTCTCGGCTTTTCGAATCAATTAAAAATAACATACTGGGCGCAAATTTAAAAGCTTACATAAAAACTCATTTACAAGAGCTGGAAGACGTATTTCACCGATACTATCGAGACATCAATTCAGAGCCACCAATATGACACCTGACAAGAAATCCATTTGTTGTCGATGTGTCACAATTACCAGAAGTTCAGGAAGAATTTCTAGAAATGAAGGCTGATTCGTCCATGAAAGATAACTTCCATCTTTTAACATTGGAGAAATTTTGAATAAAAAGATTACCTGTTAGATCGACACTCGTCTGTCTTGCTTTACGAATACTAGTTCCTTTTTCTTCAACTTATTTACCTATGTGAGACAAGCTTTTCTGCTCTAGTTTTAATCAAAGCTAACAGCGAAATCTTCTTGATGTCGATAACGACCTGATGATAGTTCTGGCAAAAACAGAACCTAGAATCAGCCAACTGGTACAGAACATGCAATCTCAAGTACCTCATTAGTACCTACTCTTATTTTATTCAAGTTTTTCGGTAAAAAACATTTATTAGTTTGTTTCTTTATTAGAATTAAAATAAAAGTCTTTGTACCTATATAATGTGCGTTGTTTTTGTATTTATTGAAAAAGTAAAGGGGGGCATGAAAATCTAATTTATAGTCTGGGGAGCCTCAACAAAGAAAGGTTGGAAACCCTGGTCTAGCCAATCCTTAGTGATTAAAACTAGATGTAAGCGTCACAAACAGGTTCTGACTGGTAGCGCGGTAGCGGCCCGTCAACTCACGTTTATTCGCTGTGGGCAGCGGGGCTTTGCTTAGTATCAATCGTGACACCATATTAGATAGATATGTACGCGTACGTATATTTGAAGTATCGAGTTCGCGCTCGCATTGTGATTAAAAATGGCAATATTCGAAGAATCAGAATCTATGAAATCAAGATTTTACGGAGAGCTTTTTTTTATATACTCCTACCACCACGATGGCCTAAACACCCATGGGGTACCGTGGGGCTATAGGGGGATACAGGGGAAAGAGGGAACGCCACACGGACTCTGGCGGGGGAACACGTGAACATGCAACATGCACAAATTCTGGCCCCGCCTACGAGATCCGCCGGGTGGTACCTCCGCGTTCGACAGTCAGAGATCGTCTACCACCTACGGACAATCACAACATCCATAGCCAAGAGAAAAATTTCTCCTGGGACGGCATTCGAACCCGCACAGCGCACGGCGACTGATCAGGAAACCGAAGAGTCTACTACTGCGGCCACCGCTGCTGCTTGAGCTCATATTGACTTCGAAACGCGGCGATAATCGTTACATGAGTAATGAACAGTATTTGAAGTATACCGGAGATGTCAAAGCTGCAAAAAAGCCACGAAGCGTTCGACATTACAATATCGCGGTTTGAAGTGTCGAGAAGTTAATTGCTCCTTTATCCAATGGCGAATATACCGAGGACCTCAAATACTACGTCAAGAATGAAAACCTGTTCGATGTTTTTCACGAAATACGTGTGAGCGAGAGAAACAGGATGATTGTAGAAGCTAACAAGTACGCAAACACCACTCAGGAGGCTGTTCTTATTTATCTTGATTTTTGCAAGTCATGTCAAATGAACCAAAATTCAATCAGAAAAGGTCTCGTCGTGGAACCAATTTTATCTAATGAGCTAAATATCCATTGCCAGGTAGGTTTGATAGACATGCAAACGAAGTTCGTACAGCTACGCCCTTTACAAAATAAGACTGCTGAGGAAGTATCAAAGGTACTGCTGGATATGTTTTGCATATTCGGATCACCATCTGATGATAGTCGGGAGTTGGTTAACCGAGTTGTGGGAAATTTGACAGAAATGTGGCCAAGTCTAAAGATTCGGCATGGGAAGCCGCGCCATAACCAGTAACAAGGTAGCGTGAAACATGCCAATCAAGATGTCGAAAAAATGCTCATGGTGTGGATGCACGATGAAAATTGTCAAAAATGGTCTGAAGGACTAAGCTTCGTTCAACTAATGAAAAATAGAGCACATAAAGATCGCCGTGCAAAGCAATGTTTGGTTGTGATGTTAAAGTTACCAGCTTTGTGACCAGGAGGGGGACGATCATAGCGAGCAAACGTGGAATGAACTACTTGCACACTAAAAACTACCTAGTCTTTAACATGACATTTCGTCAATTTTTTTACGCTTTTTAGTTTTTTTAGTCAGGCAAATCAGGAGGCTGAGGAACCACAAGAATATTTATTTATAATACTGTATGTCAAGGAGCAGTATCTTGATGCAACACACAGTTGTTCTTGATCGGATGAACGGTAGAATGAGTCAATATATTTATCTCTTCTCCGATCATTCTCACTGTCAGTCGACGATGTGAATGCACAGGATCCCGGATTCTGTCGATATTTTCATCGATTCTTGAAGATGAGGGCCTTCTGCTCTCTCCTTTCTGAAAATGCCTTAGGGTAAATCGAGAAGGGTTGGCGCATCAGGCGTGATGACTCAGAAGTTGTTTTTGTCGCATCGTTAAACAGGCATTTGTTCTAGCAGCATGGCAACATCTTTTTAGTTACGCCATTATATTTTCAATGAGTTGTTGGTGCAATTCGGATTTTTCACTTTAAGATACTCCGAAAATACTTTTATAGTGTGGAATAAGATAGTGTACAGGTAACTTTAGTCGCATTAATATGGTGAGTCGACGCACTTTTAAAAAATTATTTTTACTTGAAAAAATTTGTGTTGGCTAATAACCAATAACAAACTCAACTGATACGTTTCTTATTGCATTATTACTAAATTTTAAAATTAAGTTGAACATCACTCGTTCCATTACCTTACTCTCTTGGCGAAGTGAAATCATATTTTTTACAGACATGCCTACACAATAGAAAAGAAAAGGAAGCAAATAGTCAAAACAACATACATTTTTTGTATCAATAGATACTTTGTTAGTTCCTACTGGGGTTTCTAATTTGTTTAATTTGTTCAGAGTTAGTTTTTTTTAGTTTTGTGTTTTCAAGTTTGAATGACTTTAATTTTTTAAGTTCGTCTTTATGTAACAAAGAAAAGGAAGCGTTTCTTGGGGCAAATGGTCAAAACAACATGCATTTTTTGTATCAATAGATACTTTGTTAGTTCCTACTGTGGTTTCTAATTTGTTTAATTTGTTCAGAGTTAGTTTTTTTAGTTTTGTGTTTTCAAGTTTGTATGACTTTAATTTTTTAAGTTCGTCTTTATGTAACAAAGAAAAGGAAGCGTTTCTTGGGGCAAACGGTCAAAACAACAAACATTTTTTGTATCAATACTTTGTTAATTCCTACTGTGATTTCTAATTTGTTTAATTTGTTCAGAGTTAGTTTTTTTTAGTTTTGTATTTTCAAGTTTGAATGACTTTAATTTTTTAAGTTCGTCTTTATGTAACAAAGGAAAGGAAGCGTTTCTTGGGGCAAATGGTCAAAACAACATACATTTTTTGTATCAATAGATACTTTGTTAATTCCTACTGAGGTTTCTAATTTGTTTAATTTGTTCAGAGTTAGTTTTTTTAGTTTTGTGTTTTGTGTTTTCAAGCTTGAATGACTTTAATTTTTTAAGTTCGTCTTTATGTAACAAAGAAAAAGGAAGCGTTTCTTGGGGCAAATGATCAAAACAACATACATTTTATGTATCAATAGATACTTTGTTAGTTCCTACTGTGGTTTCTAATTTGTTTAATTTGTTCAGAGTTAGTTTTTTTTAGTTTTGTGTTTTCAAGTTTGAATGACTTTAATTTTTTAAGTTCGTCTTTATGTAACAAAGAAAAGGAAGCGTTTCTTGGGGCAAATGGTCAAAACAACATACATTTTATGTATCAATAGATACTTTGTTAGTTCTTACTGTGGTTTCTAATTTGTTTAATTTGTTCAGAGTTAGTTTTTTTAAGTTTTGTGTTTTGTGTTTTCAAGTTTGAATGACTTTAATTTTTTAAGTTCGTCTTTATGTAACAAAGAAAAGGAAGCGTTTCTTGGGGCAAATGATCAAAACAACATACATTTTTTGTATCAATAGATACTTTGTTAGTTCCTACTGTGGTTTCTAATTTGTTTAATTTGTTCAGAGTTAGTTTTTTTAAGTTTTGTGTTTTGTGTTTTCAAGTTTGAATGACTTTAATTTTTTAAGTTCGTCTTTATGTAACAAAGAAAAGGAAGCGTTTCTTGGGGCAAATGATCAAAACAACATACATTTTTTGTATCAATAGATACTTTGTTAGTTCCTATTGTGGTTTCTAATTTGTTTAGTTTGTTCAGAGTTAGTTTTTTTTAGTTTTGTGTTTTCAAGTTTGAATGACTTTAATTTTTTAAGTTCGTCTTTATGTAACAAAGAAAAGGAAGCGTTTCTTGGGGCAAATGGTCAAAACAACATACATTTTTTGTATCAATAGATACTTTGTTAGTTCCTACTGTCGTTTCTAATTTGTTTAATTTGTTCAGAGTTAGTTCTTTTTAGTTTTGTGTTTTCAAGTTTGAATGACTAATTTTTTAAGTTCGTCTTTATGTAACAAAGAAAAGGAAGCGTTTCTTGGGGCAAATGGTCAAAACAACATACATTTTTCGTATCAATAGATACTTTATTAGTTCCTACTGTGGTTTCTAATTTGTTTAATTTGTTCAGAGTTAGTTTTTTTTAGTTTTGTGTTTTCAAGTTTGAATGACTTTAATTTTTTAAGTTCGTCTTTATGTAACAAAGAAAAGGAAGCGTTTCTTGGGGCAAATG